ATGCAGACCTCTTTGCTCTTCCCACGCCAGTTTTGAGCTTCCCATCTCAGGCATGTTTGTATAACAGCCAACCAACACACCCAGTACCTTCAATGATGGAGGAAAGTCTGGATCTGAAGTCAACCGATCGGTCCCAAAGCTGTGTGAAGCCCTCAGGTTTATATTGAACAAGCTTCGATCAAAACCTGGCTCTTGACCACTAGATTATTGACCCTTTGGCAAAACGTATGATGTACCAGGACTGACAATCAGATTTGCAACACCATCTGAGTCTGGGGGGGTCTCCACCCCATTTGGGTTTGAATAAAGAAAGTTTTTCATCATTTTAGCGGTGGCTCCATCACAGCCTTTTAGCGGTCAACCAAAGGTGTCAGGGTGCCTGCAAGTCTATTAAAGGCTTGAAGGAAGTCAAACAGCCTCTTTCCTTCCTATGGGAGTAAAATAAAATGGCATGCTGAATCTCCCCTCTGCTGCTGTCCACCTTATAGGATAACTTTTGGAAGCATACGGGGATGAACTGGAACAGAGGCCTCATGAAAGAGCGGGCCTCTTTCTTCCCATGGCTGCCACGTCTTGTACCGTGACGTAGAAGAGGCCACCGTCTCCATTAGAAACAAGCCGTGGCCCTGTCCATTAGCAGTCACTTGGATCGTGGCTTGGGGAGCGATATGAAATCAGCAGCAGAGATAGGGCGGCCGGCATGGGTGTGCGGCGGGGGCCGTGTTGCGCCGTGCCACGCCGTGCCGCGCCGCGCCGGGAGAGAGGATATTGGCATTCCAGGCACAAGTGTGTGTGGGACTTTTGTGTTTCTAATCTGGCAGGGTTCAAAGTGGCGGGGCTCGCGCCGGGCACAGCTGCGGCTGTCTGAACTCCAACAGGTGACGGGAGCAGCTGTCATTTCAGCTTAGCCGTTCCAAGAGAAGGGGCTTCTGTGATTTCCGTGCCGAGGCGGCGATTAACTCTTAAGGGTCCCCGTTCCTGCGCCTTCACCCCTCCGGGGGCTCCGAAGAAAAAGCCCTCGGCTTCCTCCTGCTCTGCAAGAAAGGAAATTGCCCCAGTTTCTTTGAAGTCTGTTTTTCTTTCTCCCTCCTGAAGTGGGTGAGAGCGCACATTGCATGCGTGTCTGGCAGAAAGCATTCGCTGTGCAGGGAGGTCTTAAACCCAGAGCACTTTGACCTGCAGGGGAAGAGCGCTCACCCCAATGGAGATGCTTTTACGGCCAAACGAAGGATGCACCTGTTCCTTGTCCTGGCCCCGGAGCGCGATCCCTCCCATCCCCGTCACACTTCGGCATTTCTCATACGGCAGCGAGGGATGTTTGTAGGTCCTGCACACAGCCACGAACTGAACTGTGTCCTAGGGGCTGCCACCGCTGTTTGCAGATGCACCAAAGGGTGACTGCCCCCCGCTCACACATGTCCCTATCCTCCGGGCTGGTGACTATGACACTTGGACTGAGGGACAGCGAGCCCTGCTCTATGCATAAACCTTTCTGCCACGACACTCGCCACCAAACCTATGCAGATAGGCAAAAAAATGCAGATAGGCAAAATATGCAGATAGGGAAATCAGGAGCGGATCCTTAGCAGGGGACGACTCCAGGCAGTGGCTGATATCTCACCAAGTCACGGCCAAGTAGCTCATGAGAGGGCTTGGAAATCCTTCGGGATCTTATTTTCTGGTTTTTTGCAGCATGGTTCCCTTTGCAGTTGGAAAAACATCCGCCTGGGATGGTTTAGCCAGGGATGAGCCTGCCTCGAGCAGGGGGTTGGTTCAAGTGACCTCCTGAGGGCCCTGCAGTTCTTTCATAGGGATGAAAACTTTTGTAATGAAGGGGGAAAAAAGATTCTGGATTCAAATAATAAAAGGAAGAGGAACACTTGCAAGAGAGAGATGCCGTCCATGCCATGAAACATCCCCGAGCCCAAAGACGTTCAGCCCCTAGAACTGGAGTAACCACTAATGCAAACTAGGCAGTCAGCTCAACAGTCTGTAAAGCCAAGGGAATATTTATTTCCACTCCTAAATGCTTCCTTTGCAGCCTGTGACGGCAGAAAAGGCCATCTGTCATGGGCAGAGTCAGCAACACGGGCCACGCTCAGGCTGCGAGGGGTGTCAGAAACACTTGCTAGTGCCCAGCGCACGCCAAAAGAGCTACGCATCGCTGGGGACAAGCGTTCATTGTTGAGGAATTGCTTTGTGACTGTTGCAGAGTCTGCTGCAGCCCCACGTGACCTGGGACAATGATAACTTCACCTGGCCTACAGTCACGTCTAATTTCTTGCAAACGAAGGGCTAGATCCATATACCGGATTCAACTCCACTGAAATTAGTGAAATGATCCAGCCGGCAGGAATGCAGCCCAAGGCACCGAGGCCTCCTGGAAAACCTCTGTGCTTGCTTTGTTGCTTCTGTATCATCAGCTTTGTACGGGAGAGGATGAGACTTGCCGCTCCTTCCAGGGTATGAGAACTGGATGCAGCCGGAAAGAGGTTTCCGCTGGAACCCGACCGAATCGGGCCCTTTGGGAGCCGGTTAAACCAACATCCCACTTCACATACGGCAACGGGCAAATGAGATCCACAGACTGAGCTGATTCTGGGACACTGCGGGTGCGTCCACACGAGACGCTCGCTGCAGAGTAACCTAATAACGTGGCGCAGTCGTGTGCTGGGTAAAGCCCGTGCGAACACGCTACTGCACAGTTAGCATCTGTAGAAACCCGTGCGCCGGCGTTACTGCACAGCAAGCACCAGTTACTGCACATTGATTTAGTCCTTGGTTAGGCACGTGCTAAACTTAATGCGCAGTAACTACGGCACATTAATGAACGTGTAGACGCGCCCTGCAGGTTTGAAATGCTGACAGTGAACCAGCTGCAGCTGTCAGTTATACCCTGGCAATGGAAGAGATCTCACCAACTCTGAATGGTCTTTAGTGAGGGATGTACAAGAGGGGCTGCTGAACGGAGAGCCAGCCTCACCTGCTCATGCAGCAATCTGCTCCCTCCTTTTCCTACAGGAAAAACTAGAAGGGACAGAAACGCGCCAGAGTTACCTTCAACTCCTCACCGCCTGGTTTGAGCCACGGCTGTCTCAACACAGCCATTGCAAAAGCAGCCCTCCAACATCATTCCCCACTGCCAGTTTTTTTTGGTTTTATTTTTGTGGCCGATCTGCATATTTTATTGAAAATTAAATTACTTTGCATATTTCCCCCCAGGGCTCAGTTAGCTGCACAGATCCTTTATCGGAGGCCTACTTGACTCCAATTAGTTGGAATAACAAAGCTTCCGCTGTCGGAGGATTACCGACGAGTGTCCAAGGGGAAAGCGGCAAGAGAAAGGTTGGTTACAACAGCGGCTTTTTAATCCCGGAAACAAAACCCCCCCGACATTTAGTCCTGAGGAGGAGGTCCCAAAAATACTCATTCTCCATCCTAGACATGCATTTTAATTGCTTTGCTTGCTTAAAGGCTTTATTATTATTTTTTTCTTTTCTTCTTCTTTTCCTTAGTGACTTAATGGGACAGTTCCTTAGCGGGCGTAAATCTGCAAGCTCTACGGAGGTCAGTGGAGGGAGGCTAATTTCCCCCGGCTGGGCATCAAGCCCCAGGAACAGAAAAAGCTGCTTCTGATGTAAAACAGCAAAGAATAACACACAGAGAATTAAACATTGCAAAAAGATGACTAGTCCTTATTGTTAATAGGTTACGCGAACATATACCCCTGCAATCGTATTGGTTCCACCACGCGCTGCTGGTTCTGCAGTCTGGATTGACACGAAGGACTCTGGGTCCAGCTCTTAGGTTGTAATACCAAGTTTGCTGTTCAATAGGGAGCTATTTGCAGAATTTATGGACGGGGATAGGTCCTGTGCGTGGTTTGGCTTTGCATGGACTTGGAAAGGGCTAGGTCACTTCCTAGCTCATTTTCCTGGTCTACGTGTAGGCATGATGTTATTTTGCTCCCCTTGAGACTGAGATACTGCCCGAATGGTGTCTACCGTTTTACCCCCGGACACACCAGCCACGGACCCAGAGGGGCAAGAGATGGAAAGGTCCCACCGGCCACGCGGGTCCATCGTCGGGAGCACAACCTAGGATGGCTCCTCATCTGGGACAGACCTCGTCCGGGGTCCAGACGAGCGCTAAGTCCCGAGGGGCGAGACTTCTGCCCCTTCCCTGGGGAGAGCTAAAAAAAATTAAACTAGCCTATCTCAATTGCGGAGCTGTCGAGAGAAAAATCCTGCCATTTTGGAAGCGGAAACCGTGGGAACCGGCTTTAACTCTTTGGAAGCTTTAACTTTGGCGCTGGCGGGGGGGGAAAACCATGGCGCGTATTAAGGGTGAGTTTTGAGCCATCCTTGGAAACAGTTCCCATGGCGGCTCAGCCCTGCAAAGCCCCCACCTCTCAAAACCTACTCTATGCAGCTGCAAGGATGACACAAAAGACTGAGCAGCATTGAAAAGGACACAGCCATTTCACTGATAACTCATTAATGGCGGTTCATATTTTTTCCCCCTTGGCTTTTTTTTTTTTTTAAGAATAGAGGGCAAAAATGAAGCATACTTGATAAAGGGCATTAAAAAAAAAAAGAGAGAGAGAGAGAGAGTGCTTTTTTCTTTCATAGGTGGCTTGGACAGCTGGCTCTTTAAATATTAATCAGTGCCTCATTGATATGCAAATATGTTAATGCCAAATAATGCTCTTGCAGCTGCAGAGAATCAACCCGGCCCAGCAGAGCCTCTGCCTCCTCTCCGAGCTGAATGGGACTATCTGAGGACACAGGTGCAGGCACGGAGAAGGTGATTTGTTTAAGATGCTCTCGAAGGAAGAACCGGGGCGACCGAGCGCTGCCCCACTTGACGCCATTGGCCCGCTGAACAAGGTGTTAATCTTATAATTGTGCTGTTTACCGTTCCCTGACACAATGTCCCTGGCCTTTTGCCCTGACACTTGGCCAGTTAAAATCAAGTTTACTGACACGTCGGACCCTTGCCAACCAATCAGCAGTAAATTATTTATTGTTCTATTTCCAAAATAACAAGTAAACAGGAAAGACAGAGCATCCCATAGAAAGAAAATCAGCTCGGAAATGCATTGTTTTTGCCAAAGCATCTTGGTTGTTTTCTCTGTCCATAAAACCCGCATCTCCCTCCATTTCCTTCCCTTGCACGCTTGGGAAAGAGCCAGCTGGGTATCTCCGGGCCCGTTTATTCTCGACTCCAGACCCGAACCGGCACCAGTCGCCCACCTGGCTGTCTGAAAGGCAACCTTAGTTCTCTTGTCCGGTCTTGACCTGTTTGTCTTCGCTGGACTGGAAAGCAGCTGGTCCTCTGGAGACGAAGGGAAGACCGGTCTGAACCCCTCGCATGGCTTCACCTCTCGAAGGAGGAGTGTGCGATGGCTTGGACTCGTCTTTCATCCCCTCCTTCAAGTGGCTCCCCGAGCCGGTCTCCCTTGAAACGAAGGAGAGGCCGTTAAAAAGCAGCAGCGGATCTCATGATCTTTACCTCCGGGCCCTTTACTGGCAGTCTCTGCTTGCTGTGCTGAGTCTAACTTAGGCTAGGCTTAACTTGATTTCAGTGGAAAAAGCCAGGACGAGGGTTTAGCCTGTAAGTACCCCAGGGCAGAGACTTTTCCATTGTTGCTTTGCCTTAAAGCACCTTGCACACTGCTGGAACGCCATATAAATACCAAACAGCAATGCCCACCTGTTCACCGAGCGTCAGGAGGATTTGAAACCTTCAGGGTGCATCTACACGTGACGCTTTAATGTGCATTAGCTTAATGCACATTAAGGGTGTGTGTCTACATGTACATGCCCTTCATGCACATTAAAACTGGCAAATGTAGGCTATTGGTGCCTAAATTTGATGCCTTTGAATTTTGGTGCAAATAGTTAAGCACATTAACGCACGTGTAGATGCTTTAAAGCACATTGGGACTAACATTAGCATTAATAACACAGCATTAATACACTTTAATGCCTGCACATGTAGACGCCTGCCTAAAACTGCTTAATGTGCATTAAGCTTATGCGCATTAAATTTAGGCACACTTAAACGCACATGTAGACATGCCCTCAGTGTCATTTGGGAATAAACTACATCCAAGCCAACGGAGTTGTGCCATGTTAAAACTCCACGTGATATGCCCACTAATGTACTTTTCTGCAGACTTAAGAGCACTTTAAAGGACACGGTGCAAATGAGGAGAAGCATGAAGGAGGTGAATTGGCCGCAGCGTGTCACGAGAAAAGTGTTAACCCGGAAAGCTGCCTCAGTGCAGTGTGCACGGGCACACTGCCTCAGTGCAGCCGTGTGCCCGTGCAGTGCAATCAGTCGTGCTTCTGGTTTACATCAGGTCACAGGAGAGAGGGGGCTCGTGGGTTCAGCCTCCTACCTGCCTGGAGTACACTGGACCCAGGCAAGTTGCTCCTTTTCTTGCAGATAGGCACACCATGTTGCTGGGAGCATTTTCCTTTTCCTTCTCCAACTACCCTGCATCTGGGACACAATCTGAAGGACATTTCCTGCCCCTGCAGGGATGCCTGTCACCCCCCCCGAGCAACAGAAATAGGAAACAAGTCCATCGCCTGTGGAGCAGCAGCCGTCGCCGTCCATGGAGCATTTAGAAACTTGGCCACCTGTGGTTGCCCTCCTTAGTCCTCCTCACCCAGCCTCTTTGCTTGTGACCTCAGTGATGAATGATCTTGTCCGGGTACCCCTGGTACCAGGCAAATGCAGCTGCAAGCCCTTTTTTAATCACAGAGCTGGGAGTGCAGATGGCATCTCCACCAACGGGCATCCCAGCTGCAAGCATTACAGTCCGTGCGTTTGTAGCCAGTGTGCGAGAATGTGGGGGGGGGGAGCAGGGGAAAGAAAGAAAGAAAATTTAATTAATTAGAGAAAAGGAATGGGGAGAGGGAGGCGAGAGAGAGCGAGAGAGTGAGCACATGCTGGGAAGATTCAAGTTTGCAAATTCAAGTCATGGCTATGCATATTTTGTAGGTTAGCTTGTCCACGCTAGGACAACTTCATATTGTCTGTTTATCTGCAACAATAATTCTCCAGTGAACTGGATAAACTGGGCACCTCGCAGAGATCAGTCATAAATGAAGTGCCCAAGGGCAGACTCCAAAACCATGGCTTAAAACATCAGGCTGCTCAACGCAGGTTTCATTGCAAAGTTTCTATTCCTGCAAAACACTGCACGGCCCCGGTCCTGCGTGGCACAGACTGCCTCTGCTTTCCATTGACAGCAATGAGAAGCGAGGGTCCCTAGCACCTCTCAAGACGCTGCGAGCGTTTCTCACAATCAGTCGCTGTAAAACTTCAGCTTGGCGTGATCGCGCACTTTGACTCTCACAGGATCGGGTCCCAACTCTGTCCACTTGCATCGCTCTCCAATTTCAACCAAACGCACTCTAATGGTGGGAAAAGGATTGAGGACAAGGCACCCACATGAGCTGAGCAATGCCAAGCCCTTGTGAAAACCACCTTCCTTTATTGGCACTGCCAAGAAAGATTTCGGGCAGAGATTCTCCAGAAAGCCCAGGAGTGTTAGGCACGAACATTTCCCGGTGTCGTGTACAAACGCCCAATGCCTTTTACTTCTATTCCTTTCTCTCACCCCTCTGCCCTCAGCTCTTGACTCTCCTTTGTTACAGCAACACGTGCTTACCCAGCGCTGCTGGAAGAATCAGGGCTCCTGACATTCCCAGTAGCTATGTTAAAGGTTGGCAGACACAAAAACTCAATTCAAAGTCCACCCAGCATGACCAACACTGGGATGAAAACCCTGCTCCCTGCAAATAACTGTGGCAAGAAGTAACCAGGCTCATAAACATCAGGGGCTGGTTTCTCTACAGTCGTTCATCAGGACAGACGTTGCATTAGGAGAAACGTCAGCGGCAACGGGAAAGGAAGCAGGTCTGCTGAAATGATAAATTTTGCTCTGCTGTTTGGGGAACGGCTCGCCGTCTCCGTACGCTGCAGACAGCTGGGGCAGAGGTATCTTTTTACGCTGGATCTCGTTAGTGAACAAAAGCCTAGGACGGTGTAGGCGTCTGGACGAGACGGAGCATAACCAGGGGATTAACAGTGCACCCCCTCTAAGAGAGGACTGGCTATTTTCCCCCCTTTACCCTTGAAACATTACTCTCCTCAGCAACAACGGGGCTGGGCACCTACAAGGTGTGATAGCTTTTTCCTCTCGGACATGCTGCAATCAGCCACGAGACCGAAAGGGCTGGATGCTGACCTCCGCACGCCAGCTCCACAGCTGAGCCCACAGAGAGGGGAAACTTGGCGACAGAGAGATGATCGGAGATAGAGGAACCCTTCTAGATGTAGGAAGGGAGGTTGGGCAGGGGTCTCCTGGGACATCACAGACACCACATTGTATCATTGCTTCCATAAACTCATCCCCTGCCTTAAAATCAGAGAAAAAAAATGGGCTGGATAGAACATGAGATCATCCAAACCATCCGAGCCAAGGGTCTTTCTGACCTGCCTCTTTGCAGCATCCCAGGATGGAAATCCTACAGCTTCTAGGTATCTTGTTCCAGCTCCGAACGGCCCGCAGAGTTACTAGAATAATTTCCTGCCGTCGAGTCCTCGGGGGATCGGGAGAACATGGAAGGGAAGGTCATTGAGGAGGGGTGTAGACGGAGGAGAGAGAGCCTGGGGTCAAAATCCACATTTAGGAAGAAACGGGTTTTTGAAAGGGGCAGGAATTGAGTGGGGAGCTGGCTACAAGGCTAGCTCCTGCCCTCAGGTCCAGCAAGCAGTGCAGAGCAAGCCAGACTTTTATCGGAGCCTAATTTGCACAACACGAACGATTCCAACCGGGCGATCTTACAACACCTTCACCTTCAGCTCTCCTCTGCATACGAATGTCCATGCCCCGCCAGAATACAATCTTTGCATTCTCCTAGGCCTGAAGAAGGGCGAGTGTGCCTGAAAGCTTGCAAATAAAGATTTTTTTTGGCAAATATCTAGCTGGGCTAATAAAAGAGAGCACCCTCTGCCATGAGTTCTGACTCCTTGAGCCAGCGAAAAGAAACTTTCTGAACATGTTTCTCGAAGCAGCATAAAGAACAGCGATGGCAACCACAGCGGCAGCCTGATCCGGTGGTATATGACCTGCAAGGAGTGGGAAAAAAATCAGAACATGAGTTCTCAGGCCTCCCCACCCACACATGCATGTACAGGGCCATCACACCAAGGGCACAGAGCAATAAACAGCTCGTTCCCCAGCCTCGCTGCGCCGGCTGAAAGCCGCTTCCAGTGCAAGAGTGATGTACGTTCTGCAAGCCGTTGTGCACACCCCGCGTGCTCTTTATACGCACACCATAAACATAATGCTTTGTGAAGGATATATAAGCATTCACAACAGCCAGCGCAGCCCGAGCAAGGCAGCTGGGAATGCCTCGGCTGGAAGAAGCACAGACTTGGGTACCTAGCCAGGAGAATTAAAGCAGCAGCGATGCTTCATAAACAGGGCAGACGGCGGCTCTCACAGGCTGGTTCCTCGTCTCCAGCCCACAGGAAAAAGCAGCGGTTGCCTCTCCCCAGCGGGTCTGTGCGCCAGACTCCAAATGAGCCCAAACCTCAAACGTTTTCCCCAGTTGCAAAACATTTTGCTGAATGTTTCAGTATGAAGTTTTGTCGTTTTGCTAGAAAAGTGCCCCAAACAAAGCCGGGCTCCTGTTCTGCCCAAGGGCAACCCCACACCATGCAGCTCAAGTGCCGGGTTAAATATTGCAGCACTGAAGTGATTAATATTAACACTTAAACCAACAGCAGCCATAACATACTCTTTATCTGCATTATAGGTAGACAAAGCCTTGGCTGGGATGATGTAGTTGGGGCCGGTCCTGCTTGGAGCAGGGGGTTGCATTAGATGTGACCCCCTGACGTGTCTGGAGTCGAGCAGGTTCAGGATGACGGGGATGCGGAGGTAGACGATGAAGACCCCGAACGAGACGTTCACCCGAATTTTCTATGATCCTATTAGACAGACATCCATCCATTAGACGAGACAGCTAAGCATGGTAGATAGACAGATAGACAGCCAGACAAGACTCATGCTTTGATCTCATGAGCTACAGCTTCCCCCTACCTCTTCTCAACTTTCCTCTTTAACTCCAGTCATCTCCGGGAGGCTGATTTAGAGCAGTGTAAGACATGGGTAGATAAGAAGTAGCCTTGCTCCTTGCACCTGGATAGAGAAACTAGCTGGAATATTGTTCCTTCCAGTCATCATCATGGACACGAGATGCCTGGAAGAGAGCAGGAAGGAGGAAAAGGAGGAAGGGTCAAACACCTGATCCCTTATCTGTGCTCTTCCATCCAAGAGCACAGATCACTGCAGACACTTCCTCAGCCTGACGAAGGGCGCTTGTGCCCGAAAGCTTGCAAGGAATAATTCTTCCAACTATTTGAGTTGGCCTAATAAAAGATATCGGATTTACCCAATGGATCCTGTCTGCCCTGATCCCTTGTAGACGGACCCATTTGCCCTTCTGACCCGCTATTATTCCCTGCCTGCACGGGGCAAGGGGGCATTCAGGTAACGCCAGCTCGAGTGCTTCCCCCACGACTCCACAACCACCCACACCCGTAGGGCAGAGACCAAGCCTGTTGGCAGCTATCTCGAGCCACCTACGTTCGTTCAAGCCTGGGGATTCCCATTCAGCTGCCTTCCTTGGTTGAATGCATCACAGACTCCTTAGTTCAACTGAAAGCTGATTTTTGTGCCTGCTCCAGCATCTCCACACCTGGCCGTTTCCCATCAAATACCTGGGTTCAGCCCAGCCACCCTCTGGCATTCCCACTCAGCCCCGACATTTATTCCCTATCTTTGGCCAGCCTGCCAAGAACTGAAACGAGGCAAGTCTTTGCACTGGCCTAACACCTAATAAATGTTAGCACGCATTAACCCAATAGGACATTGCACAGCAGTGCTGCTGAGACAGGCTAATTCTTACCGGAGTATCCCTATTATGGGCCAGGCCTGGCAGAGCAGATGGATTTTCATAGCAAATGGAAGGCCATGTGGTTCATGTTTTAAAGAAGTCCAATATCTGCCTCTGTGAATACTTTTTTCAGATGACTGGTGAATGCCTGTAAACAGCCCGCAGCTCCTATAGGTGCCTCACAGGTGTGTACGGGGGTGCGTACAGACGTGTGTAAGAGCATTGTATTGAAATGGGTCAAGGTCACCGTCAAAAAAAGGTCAAAGGGCCTTCCAGGCCAAGCATCCCATAGGGCTGGAGTGGTCACAGCACATTGCTTTTGTAGCCAACAGCACCCAAGGGAGTGATAAGGCAGACATCACTTCTGATTGCCTTTGGCTCATTAGCTGGATGCCCAGGTGCCTACTGCCAAAGGTACTGACTGCCCAGAGTGGATCTGAGCTCCCACCTCAGGATCTACACCGAGGCAGACACTTGAACTACCCCACCACCCTTAAGACCACTGCAGAGCTATGAATACATATGTATTTTTGCAGAGGCTGCACCCAAAACAGCAATTCTATTTGCTGGTGGTGTGGGTGATAATTATACTATGTATTATGGAAGAGCCTCAGGGCCAAGTCATATCTGACCGTGCCATTGCACCACTCCTGTAATGCGGTCTGATAAACTCCTAAGTTTTTCGGGGCTTAAAGGCTGTAAGTCATTGCAAGTTGTTTACTAGACCGCATTACTAGACCGGTCCCGTTGGACAGTCAGACACAGTCAGAAAGAAGTGGCAAGCCACCGCTACAGCCTGTGCACTATACAACAAGACCTGTGCACGGGCAAACTATTGGCTGTTTGCTGACGACTGTTTATGTCTCGTTTGCTGGCTTTTCCCCCCATGCACAGAACAGTCAGGGTGCGACCGGGCTTTGAAATCTTGGGGAAAAGGCGTCCTCTGCCCAGCTCTCCTGCAAGTCTCAGGCATGTGCTGGCATGCACAAATCACAGATGCTGAGATACATGCCCATGAACATTCATGCTCCTTTGCTAGTGCCAACGCAGGCATGACCTGGGGTGCCCAGTCCTTTTGTTATGACCAGGGATCCTGATTTTCTCTGATAAAAAATAAAAAAATCCCCAATTTTTGGTTTAAAAGAGTAACCCAAAACCCGTATTTTTCCATGATTAAAATGAAACACCACTATATATATATATAAAAGTATATTTGTAGCTCTGCAGTGATCTTAAGGGTGGAGTGGTTCAAGTGTGTGTGTATATATATGTGTGTGTGTGTATACATACACATATGCATGTACATATACACACACATGCATAGATACACATATACACACATATATATACACATATACACATATAGATGTATATGTAGCTATATGTAGCTATATATTAGTATATAGTATATACCGGGGTGGGCAAAATGTGGCCCACGGGCTGGATGTGGCCCGCCAGGCCATTCTATCTGGCCCGCGGGGCCCCTAAAAAAATGTAGAAAATGAATATTTATCTGCCCCTGTTTGCCTGTCATGCGGCCCTCGATGGCTTGCCAAAACTCAGTAAGTGGCCCTCCGCCTGAAATAATTGCCTGCCCCTGGTATATACTAATATATAGACATTTATATATACTGGTGTTTCCTCTCAATCATGAAAAATGTGGATTTTGGGTTCCTTCTTTTAAACCAAAAATCAGGGATTTTTTTTAAATCAGAGAAAACCAGGATCCCTGGTTACGACATGGCAGCACGGTCCTATTCTTTTCTGTCTTATCTTGGGCCCTTCCCATCTCATGCCTGAGGCTGAAGTAGGGCGAAAGAGCGAGCTTGCACCCGCCGATGGGGAAGGAGGAGCTGGATGCCTCTTCCACCTGCCTGCATCGTGCCTGCACTGTCCCAGGTGCTTGTGGCCAGGGCTATATCTCCTCTGATCTGAACCCTATGTGGAAAGGTGTCCCTGCACGGACCCGTAAAGCCGCAGCCTTCTGCTTCAAGCCCCTTCTCTGAGTGATGCCTGCAGGAAACCAGCTGGTGAAGACGGGCCCGGCGGCCAGAGGGAGCACGCTGGCACTCACCCATCACGTAGGGTTGCCATCCCTTCCTCCACTGCTTCTTGCCTGTAGCACACCCAGGGGTTTCCGTGGTTGTGGGGTGAGACAGGGGGTCAGAGCAGACAAGCCTGGAGATCCTTCGACCCAGCAGTTGATTTCCAGCACCGAGGACTAGACTTGAAGCTCTGAAACCCCTCCCAGTCTCGTGCTCCTGCGAATGGGCTTTGTAATCATTTTGCAAACCCACATAGCAATTAGCACATTATACTTCATTATTTCCACTACATGCCCTCTCCTGGGGACTCTCTTCTGTTTAGAGACCTTGCGAGACTCAGTCCCTGCCTTGGAGAGCTACTCGCCTATAGAGACCAGATGGACAAACGCTGGCAACAAAGAGGTGGCATCACTGTTCTCTAGATGGGGAATTGAAGCCCAGAGAGACCAAGGACAGACCGTCATAGGCAATTAGCTGCCTAAGTTTCAGCAATTCAGCAGTTAGGTACTGAGATACCTTCCAGTACCTGGGGCTTAAGTGACATGACCAAGGTCATCCCAGAAGGATGTAGCAGAACAAGGAAAATGGGGTTCAGTCCCTAACCCCAATGGGTGCTTGCCTTTCTCTTCCCCCCATCGCTTTTCTTACACTTTCCTTCCTTCTCTGGGTGGTAACCACATCTTCCTACGAGTATGTACAGCACCTACGCAACGAGGCATGCCAGGCACGTGGGTCACTGAGTGATGCCATGACAAATAATTAAACGCACCGGCCTTTTATGAATCAGATTCTGCTGTCTTTCTTTACTCAGGAAGTCAAGACTGTGTAAAGAGAGAAAAACAGACCCAAATAATAATGAAAACCAAGCCATAAAACACACAGGATCTATCTATTTCCACCAGCAGAGTGCTAACATTTAGACCCAGCTCTCCACAAAATGGGCAAAGTATCAAGTCCAGGTCACTTCATGCTTTATAATGAGCAATTATTCCTTTTTAAAGTAAAATGAAATAGGACCCATTCCATAATGACCTGTTGGATTTTATCAGCATGTTTGGGTTATGCTTTTGCCCTTTAGCTAATGCCTAATTGATTCTTTAATCTCTACAACTTTTTCATTGACTGATACAAGAGCCATTTAGCCGATCGGCAGCAGGAAAGCAGGCTCCAATCCCTCGGAGACCCACGACACGGTGCCATAATGACCTCATCTGAAGTGAGCACTTTATTTGATAATCTATCACTTATTTATTATTCTAACTAACTGCTTGCAGGTGGTGTGATTTTAGTGTAATTGTTTCAGCAACATTTACACACAAGGCAAAGCCCCAGAAACATGCAATCAGACCCACCCGCAGCTACTGGGAAGGAAACAGGCTTGTGAGCTGTACTCGGAGGGGTGGGAGGGAGAGGGGAAATCTGCATTTAAGCAATGCAAGCGGCACGACAAAATCCCACCAACTGCAGCAAACACGAAGCAGGGGCCAGACACAGGCATGGGCGAACCGGACAGAAAGGGGTCATTTTTGGATTATTATTATCATTATTTTTGGTGAAGGGGGCCTGATACTACAAGTATCAGGGAAGAAAGGGATGCCACCGATGCTACCAGCTGCAGATATACTGAGGGGTTTCATCTGAAATGGAAAAAGAAGAATGTGTCTGTGGTTAAGGGAAGCGGGTAGCAGGTTGTAGCTCGCCAGTCTAAGTAGCTGCATGGCTCCGTCACCAGAACACCTGAGCAATTAATGGTCATTAATTAAATCATTTTCATAGCGCCCTTGTGATGGATGCCAGCATTAACCCCATTTCACAGAAGGGAAGACTGAGGCACGACAGGTCATATTATGACTTTCTTGAAGTCAACGGCAAAAAGTGTCTGTAATGCAACCCATTGACTTCAATAGGGCGAGGATCTCTCTTCCTGAATCCAAGCCTGTTGTTTTGGGGGTTTTTTTTAACCCGTTTACATGGCAAATCAAATTCCTTTCCTAGCCGGTTCACAGATTGCAATGACTCGAGCCCGGGCAGGCTGACCAAGCCTTGCACACCTCTTGGGAAGCTCAGGAAGCTTCACCTGCAGCCACGTGTACAATTCACGCGCTCACCGTACAAAAGCTTCAACCCTCGCCGAGGCAAGCCGGGCGATGCTGCCGGAGCCCCGCTTCGAGCGCTCAGTGGTGGGACTCTCTTTGCCCCTCCCGGTGTAGCAGGGGCTGAAGGAAAAGCCAAACATTTGGTTTTTCAAGTGCAGCAGCCAAAACTTACCATAAAAGCCAAGGAACCGAGGCGGCCTTGGAGAGACGCGGCAGGGCCCCGTGCACTGAAGGCTGGCCCCGCTCGCAGGAAATCTCAGCAGCCAGCAATGACCAAAAGGTCTTTCCATGGTGACCCTCCATCCTTAAGGAGCGAGGACAACCCCCACACCACCAAACACCGGGGTTGAACTGCATTGGTGGAGGTTTGTACCATTGCGGGGTGCCCAAGTCTCTCTCCAGCGCTGTCAATCAGGCCCTTTTCATCAGTGCATCGAAAACTCTGCCATTTAAAGGCCTCATGGAGCACCTTTTTGCCCTGATGCCATTGCTACTTTTAAGGAGAGGTGGTCTAAACTCCACCCTGCCCCGGGATTTTATCCGAGCTGCGTAGCACAGCTCTGCACAGATGAAATACGCTGCATGCTCTTGCTAAGGAACGGGGACGGATGCTGATTTCCTGGAGGGCTGGCACTGCCGGGGGGTATCGGAGCAGTCTCAAAGGACTGCACAATGAGGCCAGAAGTGAAGGTACAACCGTCAGGCGACGGCAGCCTTGCACAGAGCACTAGGAGTGAGCTGGGGTGGGTGGATGGAGAGGTTATTTTATTTGCGACCCGAGCGGAAACGTGAAACGACTGATGTCGTT